AAGAAAAAAAATCCGGGGGCCGGCCTGGTGGTACAGTGGTTAAGTTCGCACATTCCGCTTCTCAGTGGCCTGGGGTTTGCAGGTTCGGATCCCAGGTGCGGACATGGCACTGCTTGGCACACCATGCTGTGGTAGGCATCCCACATGTAAAGTTGAGGAAGATGGGCACGGATGTTAGCTCAGGGCCAGGCTTCCTCAGCAAAAAGAAAAAAAGAGGAATGGCAGTAGTTAGCTCAGGGCTAATCTTCCTCAAAAAAAAAGAAAGAAAGAAAGAAAGAAATCCTATCAAAATGCCAGCTGGCTTCTTTGTAGAAATTGACAAGATCATCAAGGGATCCTGGATAGCCAAAACAACCTTGAGAAAGAACAAAGTTGGAGGGCTCACATTTCTCAATATCAAAACTTGATGCAAAGCAACAATAATCAAGACAGTGTGGTACTGGCATAAAGATGGATATATATCTATCAATGGAATAGAATCGAGAGCCCAGGCAGACAACCCATATATTTACAGTCAATTTTTTGACAAGGGTGTCAATATCGGGGAAAGAACAGGCTTTTCAACAAATGGTGCTGTAACAACTGGATATCCACATGCAAAAGAATGAAGTTGCATATCTACCTTATACTATATACAAAGATTAACTCATGAGTCAGAGACCTAAAGGTAAGAGCTAAAACTGTAAAATTCTTAGAAGAAAACATAGGACTAAATCCTTATGACCAAGAAACATGAGAAAGAATAGATAAACTGGATTATATAAAAATTTAAAACTTTTGTGCCACAAATGTTACCATCAAGAAAGTGACAGACAACTCTTAGAATGAGAGAAAATACTTGCGAATCATATATTGATAAGGTACTGTTATCCAGAATATATAAAGAATTCTTACAACTCAACAATAAAAAGACAAACCAGTTCAAAGATGGGCACAGGACTTGAATAGCGTTTCTCTAAAGATGCTATTCAAGTGGCCAATAAGCACATGAAAAAGATACCCAACATCACCACCATCAAAGAAATGCAAATCAAAACCACAATGAAAAAGCACTTCACACCCACTAGGATGGCTGTTATCAAAATACAGACAATGACAAGTGTTGGTGAGGATGTGGAGAAAGTGGAACCCTCATACTTCGCTGGTGGAATATAAAATGGCATAGCTGTTGTGGAAAAGAGTTCGGTAGTTCCTCAAAATGTTAAACATAGAGTTATCACATGATGCAGCATGTATACTCCTTGGTATATATGCAACAGAATTAAAAAACATATGTCCACATAAAAACTTGTGAATAAATGTTCACAGCAGCATTATTCATAGTAGCCAAAAAGTGGAAATCACTCACACGTCCATCAACTGATGAAGCAGGTATATGTATACAAAGGAATATTATTTGGCCACAAAAGGAATGAAATACTTAGATATGCTGTACAACATGGAACCTTGAAAACATTATGTTAAGTGAAAGCAGCTAATCACAAAAGATCACACACTGTATGATTCTATTTATATGAAATGTCCAGAATAGGCAAACCTACAGTAGAGACAGAAGGTAGATCAGTTGCCTTAGGCTGGGAGGCGGTGGGCAGGGTAATGGGGAGTGACTGCTAATGGGTACAGGATTTCTTTTTGGATTAATGAAAATGTTCTAAAATTAGTTTGTGATGATGGTTGCACAACCCTGTGAACTTACTAGAAACTACTGAACTGTGTATTTTAAATGGATGGATTATATCTCAATAAAGCTGTTAAAAAGAATCCGCACTATGTGAGGATTAGCATGTTAAGAAAGTACTATGCCCACTTAGGGCTATGCATTTAATTTTTTCCCTTAGACATTATATTAGTAATACATTCTTCAAAATGTAATTTTAGGGGCCAGACCGGTGGCACAGCGGTTAGGTGTGTACGTTCCGCTTCTTGGTGGTCCAGGGTTCGCCGGTTCAGATCCCGGGTGTGGACATGGCACCGCTTGGCATGCCATGCTGTGGTAGGCGTACCACATATAAAGTAGAAGAAGATGGGCACGGATGTTAGCTCAGGGCCAGTCTTCCTCAGCAAAAAGAGGAGCACTGGCAGTAGTTAGCTCAGAGCTAATCTTCCTCAAAAAAAAAAAAGATAAAAAATGATAATTTTATTTATCACTGTGATAATTTATTCACACTTGTGCTTACTTCCTGATTATAAGAAGTAGAAATTTCTAGATATGGACATGAAGACATCTTTAAACATTCTGCTAGTCACCTTTTCTGGATCATGGACAATTTGGACACGTACTGCATATAGTTAGAAAAAAAAAAACTTCCTTGTCCTGAGTGTGACTTTTTTCAAGCTTAGCGTCAGTGATAATAATCTGAATGGCTACATTGAGGAATTTTCAGTTTTAGACATCATAGGCAGGTATTCACAGATCTGTGTAAAAAATAATAAATGAGAAAGTTCTCTAAGAATCAACAGAATCTAATCAGATGTGAAACTAAAGACAGGAATTATGTATAGAATGAACACTGATAACTACATCTCCTGTAGATTCTAAATAACGCCCAACTCCACACCACAAAGGACTGACTGCCAGCACTTTTCATCTAGTAACCACATCACTCTCATTTATATGGTGTTTTCTAGTCACAACTCCCAGAGGAACCAACTGGTTTAACTTTATTTAGCTTAAGTCACTTAAATTAAGTGACTTTTCATTTTAAGCTTGTTAATCATGACCTCACAGCCACATAAACGTTAGAAAGTAATTTCAGTGAATTTAAATCAGATCAGTTTTTCCTTAAAAACTGGGGCTCTGTATACATGTGTCTATATTGTATACACACACACACTCCTCCATCCAAGCAAGTGGTGCGTCTTAATGATTTAAACACCTCTAACCCTTACATTCCACTCAGTGTTTAATTCCTTTGTTATATACCACAATAAATGCTGTTAAAATATGTCAGCCAGTGGTTTAACCTTCGGCGATAAACTTTCCTTACAATATTTTCAAGTAATGCTACAAACACCATAACCACATCTCAAAAAGTACTGGTGGAGTAGTGGAAAGAGACAAGCTTGGGAGCCATAGAGAACCCGAGTTCAAATCTTGACTCAATCACAAGTGACTGAAACTCTACAGGTCTTGGTTTCCTGTCTGTGCAATGGAGATATTAATAAATATTTTCTTGTGCTCTTGTGAAGATTTAAAGTAATAATAAAGAGAATTTAGTACAAGGTCTGTCATCAGATACTGAATAAATGGTAGCTCTTACTCTTATTATTTCATTGAGGTTAGCATTTGTGATATCTTTTCAGCTGCACAAAAAACAGATCTGAAGTGAACTCCTTTGTCGTTTTCTGCAAACCAGTACTATAACTCAGGTTGTTTCTTAAGTGCTCTAATTTTTTCAGTAAAACAGAAAATAATTTCCTCCAAATCCTACAAAATGATCTGCCATTTGTCTGTCTATTTAGTGCAAGTCTCAGTAATAATCTATTACTGACAGGTATTTTTTTGGGAAACCCGAGATAATAAAGCCACCTATATTTGTAAGTTATCACCAATTACTCTCCCAAGCAGCCTAATTCTAAAATTCAGTTATTTCAGAACCACTCAAATAGCATCTCTAGTTACATACCCACATTTCAAGGTTTACTTTAAAGACATGTTTTTCCATGATTCTGAAAGATTTTGTAGCACTATTTATGAAAAGGAATTTGAATGCTTTGAGTTTCCAGAGGTGTTAATTTGCATCCAAGAGCCAGAGGGAAAACTTGCTACAAAAAAACCTCTAAATGATTAAATGAACTGGCTCATTTGAAACATTTGTCATATAAACAAAAATACTTACATAAGTGTATTTACAATAGTTTCACCTCATTAGAAATCAGCATTCCACATTTTCTACGGGTTTAACTTTTAGAAATTGACTTCATATTTTTCTTCTGCCTCTTTAAAAAATAAGTTAAGGGGCTGCCATGTGGCAGAGTGGTTAAGTTCACACGCTCCACTTCAGTGGCCCAGGGTTTCACCGGGTTGGATCCTGGGCTGGATCCTGGGCTGGACCCAGCACCTGCTCATCAGGCCATGCTGAGGCAGTGTCCCACATAGCAGAACCAGAAGGACCTATAACTAGATACACAACTATGTACTGGGGGGCTTTGGAGAGAAAATGACAGAAACAACAACAAAAAAGAAGACTGGCAGCAGATGTTAGCTCAGGTGCCAATCTTTAAGAAAAAAAAGAAATTAAGTTATTTGTGATGAGGGCTACTTACTAGTAGAGGCAATAGAAGGCACCCAATTAAAAATATGCAGATAATAAATATATGTTACTCAAAAATCTTGGGAAGGCACTATACAAGGTCTGCAAAGACAAGCAATTAATGACAATTTCAGGAAATATACCTTTATTATCTACCTGTGTAACATTCAAAAAGACAGGATGACAAAAGCTATAGCACAAACAACTTATAAAAGCTCAACTGCATTATTTCAGCTTCAATTCTCTTCCCTAAAAGAATAAGGAGAGAAATTTTCTGGTAACAGAGAAAATTTCACAAGGGAGGGTCAAGTCTGCTGATTTATCACGCTCTCAATGAAGCCTATCCTGACCACCCTATTTATCATTTTGCAACTGCACCCCCTGCCAATCCCTCTTCCTGTGCTCAACCCTCCCTCACCCATGGCTCTCAACATTTTCTAACTTAATTAGAATAATGTTTATTTTTCATTCTGCCTCCAGCACCCACACACTAAAATGTGGGCTCCACAAGGGCAGGGATTTTGTTTTGCACTCGGATGTAGCCTGAATGCCCACAATTGTCTGACAAATGGTAGGTGCGCAATAAATAATCACTGAATGAGTAAACAAACAGAGAAGAGCAACAAGCATATTAGTGTGCCACTTAAAAGAATAATTCTCCAGATCAGATTGAGAACATTCCTGAATAACAGTTAAACACCCCACCACTTCAGATTACTCAGCTCACATTTCCCTTAAAGACCCTACCTGCCTGAGTGCGTTCCTATGGCCACCACTGTGCCACTTGGATGAAAATCTGCACAGTGTCCTGGTTCCTAGAAGAGAGACAGACAGCTGTTGGGGAGTACACGAGAAAGTCTCCCTAGATCTATGGGAATAGTGGCAAAAACATATTTGAAAATAACGTGTTTCATACAAACATGGAATTCCAATCAACTTTATTATAACCAATGGGAAACACCACATGGACATGAGAGGAAAAGGAATTTCAGAGCAGGAAGGGGATATGCTGGCAGAGTGGTGAGGGGAAAGGACAACCAGCTCGTGGCTAGGCAGTGGAACAATAATAAGGATACTAACAAACATTTGTACAGTTCTTCAGAGTCTGCAAAGAACGTGCATACATTTTTTGGGCTAGAAAAGGTGGATATCTGGGTGGAGTAGGGAGAAAATACAGTAAGAGACCAACTCAAAAAGAGGACAGTAGAGTCTGTTAGTGAGCAGCACTTACTGAAACCAACTGCACCACCACCAGAGGCCCAAACATTTCCCTAACAATTGATGCTCCATAAATATGTGAAATCTTTTTTGATTTTTACTACTAAAACTGACAGAAAAATTGAGAGTTTGCCCTGCTACCTTGCTTCTTTAGAGTGGGTTCATATTATACTTGTGACTAAACAGTCTCCCCTCCCCGCACCCTCTTTACTAAACTATGTAAATACACTTGGTTTTAACCAATGCTCAGTCCTTTTTCCTTTGCTACTCCCAACTGCCAGTTTAAGGAGTTTCTGTGGGGAGATTATAATCACATTTTGCTTTACTTACATCTACAAGCCTTGTCCATTCCAGCCTGTGTTCCACTGAGTTCCACATGCACACCTGTCTGTCCTGAGCACATGTCAGGAGCAAATCTTTGAAAGGATGTGTGGCAAGACCCCAAAGCTCATCTGTATGACCCTGAAAATAAAATACAACCATTTTTCTAAGAAACAAAGAGTCTCATCAAGAATATTCAGTTAAGGGGGCTGGCCCTGTGGCCTAGTGGTTAAGTTTGGTGCGCTCTGCTTTGCCAGCCTGGGTTCGGTTCCTGGATGTGAACCTACACCACTCTTCGGTGCCATGCTGTGGTGGTGCCCCACAGACAAAACAGAGGAAGACTGGCACAGATGTTAACTCAGGGTGAATCTTCTTCAAGCAAAAAGAGGAAGATTTGCAACAGATATTAGCTCAGGGTGAATCTTCATTAGAAAAAAAAAAAAATTCAGTTAATGGTGAAAACTATATAGCTTAAGGGCCAGCCCCAGTGGCCTAGTGGTTACACTCAGCCCATTCTGCCTCAGCAGCCTGGATTTGGTTCCCAGGCATGGACCTACACTACCCTGTTAGTGGCCACGTTGTGCTGGTGGCCCACATACTGAAAAATAGAGGAAGACTGGCATGGATGTTAGCTCATGGCCAATCTCCCTCAGCAAAACAAACCATATTGCTTACCTGTACTTCTATTTGGAAGCCATCATTAAATGTTCCTCGTAAAATAAAATTTCGTGATGTGCCTACTAAAAATTGATCTCCTTTTCCCTCTGCTACAGCTCTGATTGTTCCATACTGATCAGGAACCTAAAAAACAAATTTGTAAAGTCACCATACACATACTAACATACATTAATTACTACCTGAAAATTGCATTTATAGCTGTAAGTGATTACGGGGTAATAAACAACAGAACTCCAAATTTGAAAGTAATACGGTAATCCTACGCTAATAACAATTTATTTGTTCAGATAATTACATTTTATGACACACAAGTGATAATGAATTATTATCAACATTCTTTGCTTCAGGCAATTTTAAATCTATATTTTATGATTTCAAGAGTTAAGGGCTAGGAGTAGGGGAAAAAGGAATGAGTTCTATTAGATCACGTGAAGAATGTAGTCTGGTTTTGTTATTTACTAGCTATGTTATTTTGGGTAAGTCATTCAGCCTAAGACAAATGTCTTTATCTGTAACTTGGGGATAATACTACTACATGCCCTTCCTACTACTGATTATTATAAGGATCAAAATGTAAGAATAGTACATGGGAAATTTCCTTGCAACTAAAAAGCAATATATTGTAAAGTGTTAAGTGCCATTAAGAGGACTCCTTGGAAGATCAATCTTACTTAATGCACTACATGGTATACTCTCAGTGAATGTTATATTAATAATTTAATAAGCCCAAACAATGACTCTTTCTGAAATAATGCTGTTCTTTCTTATGAAGTAGGATCCAAAATGACTCCTAAAAGCACAAAGAACTGAATTTTAAAAGTAACCTAAATTTGTTAGAAATGGCAAAAGGAAGAATGAACTAGATGGTGTAGGTTTTGATTACAAAGGATATCAGTTTTATCTGTGAAGAAAATAAATGGTAAAAGAAGTGGCATTTCCACTATGAACTTAAGGATGTAATAAAGCCACTCTTTCTTATCTATCTTCCTGGAAATAAAACCCAAGAGCAGTACTATCAGGATCCTCTTTTTTAGAGAAGATTTTGTCTGGAGAGCATGTTATGTGTAGAAAACAGTGAACATAAATTCTAAATTTAAGTCACCAAGAAATAGAAGCAATATTAAACTCCATGAGATTTGCCCTTGTTTTGAGAATCATTGATCTAAAATACTATTCGTAATCATTTCACTTCCTGACACCTCAATTCAATCAGCAAACTTTCACTGAGCACATTACACCTGTCAGGTTTTATGGATACACTTGATTCATGCCACGAAGCAGACATGTACATAGATCATTAGCAATATTAAGCCCACTGTTTAAAAGATTATTTTCAATTTTTAAAATTAAACTGGTCATTTTGTATACCTTGGATTTTGATACAGTATTTGATGAATGTTTGTTGAATTTTAAGTTTGCATGGCTTTATTTTTGGATCACTAAGAAATAATCTCAGAAGTAAACAAGGAAGTTAATTACTCTCCCCAATCTTTTTTTATTCTTTCAAATAATTTTGTTTAACGAAGGTCCTTTTTTCCTTGAGGGAATGAAATGAGAAGAACGTGCACCAATTTCCCAGAAAAGTATGTTATCTTAATGTGGGACAAACGACATGAGTTTAGAGGGTTTAATACTTTTAAATTTTTATGGTGCATTTCCATCCTTACCTCTATTTCTCTTTCAGGATTCAGATCATGATCCCACAGAATTACTTTTCTGTCTTTCCCTCCTCCAGTTAATAACATCCCATTTCTCATCTGACAAAGTGTGAACACACTGCCATCATGAGCTTTGATTTGTTTGCTGATCTGATAAACACCTAATATGACAAGGGAAAAATAAAAATACTAGTGATAACATTTTCCATCAGACTTTAGTGTCTTTTGGAAGAAAACTTTAGCAGAACCATAGAGTGAATAATCAAAAGTTCCTATGACTCAACAAGCAAAAACCTATTTTCAGCAAGTCTTCTGCAAGGCTAATACAATCCTTCGCATTTATGTCAATATTTAGTTACTCTGAAAATATTTCAAAATAGATTCTTACAAAAAAGCAAGCTAAAGTAGTGATAATTCCACAGACAACAGAGGATACATTAGCCTCAGAACTTCACCAGCTCTTAATAATCATCTTTTTTTTTTTTTTTTAAAGATTTTATTTTTTCCTTTTTATCCCCAAAGCCCCCCGATACATAGTTGTGTATTCTTCGTTGTGGGTTCTTCCAGTTGTGGCATGTGGGACGCCGCCTCAGCGTGGTCTGACGAGCAGTGCCATGTCCGCGCCCAGGATTCGAACTAACGAAACACTGGGCCGCCTGCAGCGGAGCGCGCAAACTCAACCACTCGGCCACGGGGCCAGCCCCTCTTAATAATCATCTTATATGGTATTTAGGGCAGGTATTACTCTTCTGATTTTAGAGCTGAGGACACAGAGGTATGGAAGTGGCTTAACCAGCACCACACAGTTAGCTAGTTACAAAGCTGTGATTAGAACTCAAGCCTCTTCACTCCATGTTCAAGTTTGCAAAAAAGCCTTCATTTGCTGCTGAGTAACAGTCATAACATTTAACAACCACTTTGACCTGGAGGCCTTCTCCTCTGCCAAGGATTACTGCCTTTATTTGCTGAGATATGAGGGACTGGGGAAGGTAGTGGGGCAGAAGTGGACACTGGCAGCTTGGAGCAGTGGCTTTTGACCAACCAGAGACATATTTTAGTATTTTAAAAACTGGTCTGGCTATACCCAATGTGATGGCTGAATGACAAAGCAGCTTTCTTGTATGCTCAGAGCACTTCACAAGTACCCAGGAAGGGACAAGGCAGGTACATAAAAAATAATTTTAAGTAAAGTCCATGTGCAGATTAAAAGAAAAAAAGGAAGACATATATATATATATATATATATATAAAGAATCAGATCCTCTTTCTTACGAGTGAGAATAAGATTTTAGTACTCAAACCTTTTTCTTTGGTATTCATTATGCCTTACTCAAAGAAGCTCTTTATCTGGCTAGTGAGGCTGGCAGACAAGAGTAAAACTTTCTGGAACATGATATCTTGCAGAGTTAGTTACCAGGTTCAAAATGGGAAGGTAGAACCTTGTTTAAATATGGCCAAAGTCAGTCAATAAATAGACCTTAGATCCCTTGGAAAAATGAAAAATATTACAAGTTTAAAAATAATTCAGTGGAGGAAATGGGTGAATGAGTTCAAAAGGTACAAACTCTCAGTTATAACATAAATAAGTCGTCGGAATTTAATGCACAGCATGGTGACTATAATTAACAATACCGTATTGTATATCTGAAAGTTGCAAAGATAGTAGATCTTACAAATTCTCATCACAAGAGAAAAATTTGTAACTATGTGAAGTGATAGATGTTAACTAAACTTACTGTGGTAATCATTTTGCAATATATACATATATCAAATCATTATACTATACACCTTAAACTCACACAATATTAGATGTCAATTATAGCTCAATAAAACTGGAAGAAAACTGTTCATTTTCTAAAATGATTCATTAACTGATGAATGGATTAAAAAAATGTGGTATATCTACAGCATGGAATATTATTCAGCCATAAAAAGGAATGAGGTACGGATACAGGCTGCAACATGGATGAACTCTGAAAACATTAAGGTTCGAGTGAAAAAAATCAGTCACAGAAGACCACATATTGTATAATTCCATTTATATGAAATGTCCAAAACAGGTAAATCCATAAAAACCAAAAGCAGACAAATGGTTGCTAGAGGCTGAGGGGAAGGAGGACTGGGAAGTGACTGCTAAATGGGCAGTGTTTCTTTTTGGGGTGTTGAAAACGTTCTGAAGTTAGATAGCGGTGATGGTTGCACAACTCTGTGAATCTACTAAAAACCACTGACTTGTACATTTTAAAAGGGTGAATCTTATGGTATGTGAATTATATCTCAATAAAGTTGTTATTGAGATTGTTCATTTTTACTCATCTTTCTATTTGAGCTGCCATTATATTTCAAAAATTAACTAAAATTTACAGGGTTTTGGTATCCTAAAAAAAATTATGCTAACGTTGACTCTAAAAATTACTCACTGTGAGGGTGCTAGTGGCACAAATGCTTAAGATGGGTATATTTGGCAACGAGAAAGGAAAGCGCTTGCCCAATTCAGCAGAGATGGGAGCAGAACTCCAACAAACTTGCTATTCAGGTCAACTGCCTCAGCTCACATCAACATTCATCACCTAAAAATATTTCAAACATTGAACAACGTAATTGTGTCCAGTAGGATAGCAAGCCATTATCTATTACGGCTTTGATGTGACCAAGAGAGAAAGGGCATTTGAGAGATGTGAATTTTCTGGGGGGAACTGTTGGCTTTATTTGGGTACTTTAAAAAAAAAAGAAGCAAAGGGCTTATTTCCTCTAGCATGGTTAAATTAACAAGAATAGCTTGAAAGTACCATGTAAAAAATTACAAAAAACAGAGGTGTGGAGTTTCACAGATTTCAGTCAGAATGCAGGAAAATGAAATATAGTTTTTCTATCTTTAATTTCAGTCTACCATACTTCTAAACAGGACAAACACCTTGTTAAACATTTTAAGATCTTCCTAGAGTGATGGAATGTTAGAAAACAGAAAGTAAAACTGAAGAACAAATGCTTCATCAAGAATAAAAATATTCTAGGGCCGAGTGGTTAAGTGTGCACGTTCTGCTTTGACGGCCCAGGGTTTCACCGGTTCGGATCCCGGGTGTGGACACAGCACCGCTCATCAAGCCACACTGAGGCGGCGTCCCACATGCCACAACTAGAAAGACCCACAACTAAAAATACACAAATATGTAGCAGGGGGCTTTGGGGAGAAAAACGAAAAATAAAATCTTCAAAAAAAAATAAAAATAGTCTATTATAGTGGTCAACTCTGTGACATTCCCACTCTCGACCTCCCACCAGGAAAGTTATCTCCTGAGGAGGACCTAGCACTAATTTAGGTAAAAAAATTTCTGTGCTTCAAATTTAAACAAATTACCAAAGCTCCCTTTAGATAGTATTTACCTATAAAACAAATTTATAGTCAAAGATTTCCTTCTCATGGGCCTGTATTTCGACATCCCAATTTAAGCCAAATAATGTTTGAAATACCTGCCATGAAAAATAATTATCCTTGAATTTAAAACTTACTGTACTTCCAGGAATAATCATGGCCAAGTACTATCCAAGCTTAATTGCAAATCTCCCCCTTTCTTCTCATCTCTAACAGAAACAAAGTTTCCATAAAAAGCAAGTTTACCTTGACTGCCAAATAAAGATCATTTGGAAGGCTTTCTGTGCCTGTTTAACCATAGACTCAAATGTCAGGGAGACTCTGAAACTTACATTATATTCTTAGCAACTGGGAAAATGGGCCCTTGTTGATTATTTGGAGAGCAGGTATAAAATGGTGGTGTTTCTTAGTTTCTTAAAGGAACTTGACAAAGATTTAAGAATAACATTTTAATGGGGGGTGCTGCAGATACTCTCAACTTCCCCTCCCTCACTTAAAAAATTACGAACTATTTCATATAAAAGATTTTGAACTGTTTCATATGTGAAGGAAGTAACAAATACCTTGTACCCACACAAGAAACAGAAAATACTAAAACAACCTAAGTGTCTACCGACAAATGAATGGATAAAGAAAATGTGGTGTATATATACAATGGATTAAAAAAAAGGAAATCCTGACATTTGTTAAAAACATGGATGGACCTAGAGGGCATAATGCTAAGTGAAACAGACAGAGAAAGACAAATACTGCATGATCTCACTTACATGTGAAATCTAAAATATATGAACTCATACATACAGAACAGACTGGTGGTTGCTCGAGGCAGAGAGGGGTAGGGAAATGGGTAAAGGTGGTGAAAAGGTACAAACTTCCAGTTACAAGATAAGTAAGATCTGGGGATTTAATGCGCAGCATGGTGACTATAGCTAACAATGCTGTATTGTATATTTGAAAGTTGCTAAGAGAGTAGATCTTAAAAGTTCTCATCACAAGAAAAAAATATAAGTATGTGAGCTGTGGTAATCATTTTGCAATGTATACATATATCAAATGATTATGTTGTACACCTTAAACGGTACAATATGTCAATTATAGCTCAATAAAACTGAGGGAAAAAAAGAAATTGAAAATACTAATTACTTTGAAGATTCCTGTGAATTTACATTTAAGGTAAAGAAAAAATGGTTTGTAAGCAAGAATAAAATATATAGAGTGCTTATGAGGCATAAAATCCAGTTTTGGTTTGTCTATTTACCAGACTAAAAGGAAGCTACAAAGTTTTACTTCTGCCATCCAAAAAATGTCCCTTTATCAGACATGACATCACAGTATACTCAAATTTTGGTTGATAAGACTGCCACAGGTGCAGAAATGTCATATTAGGGAATATGCAAACTGGATCAACCTAGTAAAATTTTTGGCAAGAATTTAAAAATGGAAACTTTGAGCATCTGCCCTGATCTGGACTTACACATTTCACAGCACTCACCAAATCCTTCCCAGCCATATTTATAGAACTGAAAACCCCAAACATAAAGGAAGAAACAAAATTCTTGGCAAGTTTGCCCATAATAGGGTCAGTCGTGTAGCCGAGTACAACACAGGCCATTCCATGTGCCCAGCAGTTTACAAGACTAGATTTCCTCTTTCCTGTTCATGCACTGGCAGATTTTCTTTGCACAAAGGCTAAGCTGCAAGTTTTTCAGACAAAAACCAAAATAAAAACCACCTCTGAACCTCTCTGTGCCTGCCACCTCAACACACATTAAGGCTAATGAAGGGTACATTCCTACCCAGACTGCTCAGTGTCAGAGGATAACACGTCAACCATTTAAATCACTGTTTGAGACACAATGCTATTCCCTGGCATTTCTGATACTGAACAAACGTACCCAGGAAAAAGAAAAGAGAGCTAAGAGGGAAAGGTAGTTGATAATACTGTTGGCCTAATTTTCTTTTTTCTTAAGAATCCTCAACCCACTGCCATCCTTCTCATATGCAAATTCTGAACCTAAACTGAATGAAAGGGGCTAGGAATACATGGCCAATGACTGAGATCAGGGTCATTGGATACAACTTAAGGATTATCCTTTTTAACTTCTGAATATGTCTAATTCAATTCAACTGTCAAACTTAGAAATTCAGATGAATGGATATGGAAAACACTAATCTAGTATATTGCCTAAAAAATATAGTATGAAAATCTTCACAATCACAAGACATTTACAATACAAATTCCACATTTCAGTGAAAATTGTGCTTTCATCAACAACACTCATCTTTTATTCCAACACTGACACCCAAAGGTAAGATTAAAGTCATTTCCTTAATAAAATATTTAACAAACAATTTTCAAACAGCTTGTACCAAATGCCAGACATTGTGTTAGAAAGTCTATGAGAAAAGACAGGCATATAAACTGGCTCTTTCCTTCTGAGCTGGGGACCAAGGATTCTCTTTTTTCATAAGCCACTTGTGGTGATTCCCATGGTCCAACGCACACTCCAGAGAGACAAAGGGAAGGAGTTGTTTCAGTGTGTTTGAGGTGAGGCAGATAAATAAGAAACCAGGGCGGGGCCGGCCCGGTGGCACAAAGGTTAAGTTCGCACATTCCGCTTCTCGGCGGTCTGGGGTTCGCTGGTTTGGGTCCCGGGGGTGGACATGGCACCGCTTGGCAAAAGCCATGCTGTGGTAGGCATCCCACGTATACAGTGGAAGAAGATGGGCATGGATGTTAGCTCAGGGCCAGTCTTCCTCAGCAAAAAGAGGAGGATTGGCAGTAGTTAGCTCAGGGCTAATCTTCCTCAAAAAAACAAACCAGGGCATGCTGCTCTGCCAATCCTCAGGAGAACTCTCAGGAATCCCAGATCGGTTCCCTAGCACCTCCTTTCTCTCTATTTTTTTTTTTGGTGGAACTCAGAGACTGATTGGTCTAGCTAGTTTTCTTTCTACTGCTACCACCTGTTGCTGCTAATAGTCTCTCTCTGCCCCCAAGGCACTGATTTTAGAACAAGGTCACTAATTTTTCTCTCATAACCTTCTACTTTGAAGGAAGTACATGGTTTGGACACTTGTTCAGTTTTATTGTTCTTAAACAGTAAGGAAAAACGGGGTTTTAAAGAGGCTATTTTCAATATCCTTCCTCTAATTTTTTCATCTACCATAGAAAAGCACAAAGTAGACCTATATATTTGGGTACAAATGGGACTTAAGAATAAAATATATCTGTATGTCTGAGGAAACTCAATTTAAGGTAAAGCTGAGTGAATGCCAAGGCCCACTATTGGGGCTGGGAAGAGGGGCTGTAGTGAGAAAAAGAAGGGGATTGAACTATGAGCTTATTCTTTTTCTCTCCCCTCTCCCATTTTATCACATGGCCACACATACTGCCCTCACAGATACCTCCAGACCCAGCCCAGGGGAGAGGGAAGCCTGTAGTCTGTTGCTATGTTGGAAAAAAAGAGAAGAGACAGGTAGGAAATGTGCCACAAATGTAGTAATTGGGGCTTTCTATATTACAAATAACTATGTTAATCAACAACTGTTAAAAAAAAAAAAAGGTCCTTGGAAACATGCTTTTGTAAGTTGATAATTTTAATCACTAATTGTTTAGAAAATGATACCTCTAAATTTACATGTCTTTGGTTTTAATATTCATTTATTATAATATATCCAACATCCATAGTCAAGTCAAAGTTTTCAGCTGGATTCCAATTTCAACTAGTAAGAATTCTGAAGTAATGGAGTCTGATTATGTGTTTTATTATATTACTGTTGTTCTTATATTATCCATTAAAAATAAAAACTTCACTACAATTTTTTTTTCCTCCTTCTTTTCCCCAAAGCCCCCAACTCCAGTACATAGTTGTATATTCTAGTTAGGTCCTTCTGGTTGTGCAATACAAGTTTTTAAACAGCTGCTTTTACTGAGACCAATGTCATCCTGCATGACCCTGACAACTTACCCACAAAAGATCTCTCTCAGCCTCCTAAAGTTCCAGTCTCAGAATAAAATTTAGGCTATTGCTCTTTTCAAGGATAATCTCTGCTCTTATGCCCAATTCAGCTATTCTCATCTCTCTCTCTAAGATTTTTAATCTCTCCCTTTCCCTCGGTAATTCCCATTTTACTTAGGTTTTAGGCAACCTTAAAAAGACCCGGCTGACTTTAGTAACTGTTTACTTTCCATTTTCAACTTGGATTCTCAAAATTCTCCATTTTGGAACTGGCCAATCTATACTTAGCTTTTCCAGGGCCTTAATGTTCTACTGAAACTGGAAACTACTAATGGTCTTTCCTTGGTTCTTAGTCTTCTTGACCTCCCTATAGCAGATATTCCTGGAAACTCTCTCCTCTTTGGTTTAGGGGCGCTAAAGAAAGAGTTCTTTCTTTTTAAATCTCATGTCTGCAAGCCTAGTAGGCTCTTTTCTGGTCATCTAACTGTGAGATAAAGGACCCTTGGCCTCACAGCTCTTCTCTCTTCCATCGTGAGCGCAACCAGTTTTAAAGATTCTTGTGGATAAATCAGAAAATCTGTATCTTTAATCCCTACCTGAATTTTCAATGGCTTAGTTTAACAGTTTAAACTGGTAAGAGGAATTACAAAACACTACTATTTTCCTTCAAGTTTGCTATCGCTTGTTTCTATTTACACTTTTACATGACGAATTTATTCACACTATCCTGAATGCCTCACATTCATATCAATCCTTCTGCCTTTGCCTGAACTGTTTCTCTAAACTGGGATCAAGGTTCCATATCTTTTTTTTTTTTTTTTAAAGATTTTATTTTTTCCTTTTTCTCCCCAAAGCCCCCCGTACATAGTTGTATATTCTTCGTTGTAGGTCCTTCTAGTTGTGGCACGTGGGACGCTGCCTCAGCGTGGTCTGATGAGCAGTGCCATGTCTGCGCCCAGGATTCGAACCAACGAAACACTGGGCCGCCTGCAGCAGAGCGCGCGGACTTAACCACTCGGCCATGGGGCCAGCCCCAGGTTCCATATCTTTTATAGTCTTATATATTCATTATGGCTTAGCTTAAATACCATTTCTTCTGTGAAGGCTTCACAACACTGAAGATTAGGATGATTTCTCTCTTAATCTTCATAATGTTTAAATTAACATATATGTACGTCATCTCTTTCCAATTACTTTGCATTAACCTCTTAGAAGGGAAGGTTCAGTATAGTCAAATGAGGGTTATGTATGCTTAATAAATAGCTGGGTAAACAATTTAATTTCAAAAGATCATCATGAAGAACCTTAAAAACAACAGGTACGTTGGTGCTCATATTGTTCCACTGCAGCTCTCTCTTTCCTGGTCTGGGTAAGAGGTGACTGCAATAGCAGTATGTGCAAATTAAAAGGAATGACTTAAATCTGAGAATACTGTACCTTTAGGCCCCTTCCCAGGTGTGGGTTCTACAGTAGTTTTGCTCCATATAAGTATGACTCCACCTGAGTCTCCAGTAAGAACATCTCCATTCCCCAAGAATGCTAAACACTGCACAAATTTTGGTTTTTCATATTTCTACAATGAAACAATGAGAATTTTCAGTTTTCCCTTTGGCATGATGATTTTTTGCTTACTTAACATTGAAAAATTAGAGTTTTATAATAAATTTAAAACATTCCAATCCTTACCCCAAAAATTCCCTGTTTTCTTGTTAGTGAATTGCCACTCCAGGTCCAGAATAAAACATGAGATTTACCACACGTTATTATGATATTTGCATCTGTTGGATGGAACTCCACAGCCAAAACAACTTCATTTGTTGTCTGTGGAAAGAGAAATAAAGCTTTAGATATATGTATATCCTTATCTCCATCAAGTACCTATTACAGCTACTGACAGAAATACTTTTGAAGAAATGTCTTTTCTTCCAAGATCGATTTTTCTGAGAAAATTTAATAAGAGGTTTTTAGAATAATGATTTAAATTTGATGTCCTTATACTATTATATTATCTTTTATTCTATTTATATATAATAACTGCACCAGGAAGACACTTATATGAATTACAGTTTTAGCTTACTTTACTTTCTTACATTCAGGGAAAAGCACACTAAAACTACCAAATGCAAGAGCAAGGTACATTCTGTCTTAAAGACATTGCCATTTTGATAAAAAAAAAAAAAGTCTTATCCTTCTTTGCACTATAAGTATTGAGTGTCCATTCAAGAAAATATTACTGGTTTAGAGAATTGTCCTCAGGCTGAAGGCTCAAAAAGCAGATATAGAATGGTCACTACTGACTCCTATAGAAAGGAAAAAACAAAGAGCTCTTATGCTCTTTCCTCAAAAAACCCTCAAAAAGACTGGAGTTAGGTTACAAACAACTAGAGTGAAAAAGGAAGAAAACAGGCATGAAAGTCACAAAAAGAATTACAAGTACAGTCTTTTCACTAAAATTACTGAACTGAGGTTATTTTAAAAACAGTATATTTCTGTATGTTTAATAAATCATAATTGAATTTTTACTAAGTTGATGTTTTGTGGTAAAAGCACCTACTCAAATTTAACAGTAAGGTGAAATATAGATGCTCGTAAAGCTGTTTATTGTTAGCTGTTGTTTATCTGTATGGTGATTATTAATATCCATTTTTTTTAACTTAGCAAAGAACTTCATATGTGTATGGAAGCATTTCCTCATTGCAAACCAACATGGTAAGGATGGTTATCTTATGAACAAAGTGAGTTAAAGACAATACATTTTATATTCTTCTATTAATTAAACGACACGGAAGAATTTACCTAAATTTTCCCATGGCTCCAACATTTCTGAAAATTTTACATTTTTACTACTAACCTTTGGGCTCGAGGATGTTGTATAGACACATAAATAAAACCCAAAGAATGAAATCTAATCTGAATACTTTTTCCCCTCAACTAGAAAGGAAAAGGACAGCATCTTTTCCCGTTATGTAATTCTCCACATGATTAGTATGGAATTGTATATACCTTGCAGGTCTCAGTAAATTTTAAAAATAATGCGTTAGTAACAAAGCAAAAACTAGTCATCTCTCTTCCAGGATGATGATGTCTTTTAAAAATTGAATGAACAGTCTTCAGTTTTCACTTGAACAAAATCAAAACTACTTAACAGTTGAATCTTATGCCAAACTGATTAATCAAGGTTTAATATTTGTAACTATAAATATTCCCAGTATACAAAAACCCATGGTGCTAGTGATAAGATATTCAAGACATAACCTGAAGTAACCTATGACATTAAATCACCTTGGGTATGAGTGTAGCCTTACAGGATATTTTAACTTTCTATTGATGTACATACTATATACACAGAAAAGTACACAAATCCTGAGTATATAATTCAATAAATTTTCACAAATTGAACACATCGCTGTACACCATCTGTACAGAGCAAGAAAGAGAACATTACTAACATCCTAGAAACACCTCAGATCCCTTTTCTAGTCACTGTCTCCTCCCCCTGCTCAAGTAACCATGATCCTCATTTGTAGCAGCATAGATTATCTTTGTCTGTTTTACTTAAATGGAATCATACAGAATGTACTCCTTTGTGCCTGGCTTATTTTATCAACATTCAATTGTGAGATCTTCTTCATGCTGGTACATATACTGTAATTTGTTCATTCTAACTGCTGTATAGTATTCCTTTGTATGGAATGACTACATTATTGATTTATCCATTCTCCTACTGATGGGCATTTGAGTAGTTTTCCTTTTTTTGCTACCATTATTTTTGATTACTTGTCTTTTGGTTAACACGTATATAATTCTGTTGGGTTTATACTGCAGAGTGAAACAGGATGGGTCAAAGGGTATGCATATGCATATATTCAACTTTAGCAGGTAAGGTCAAAAGGTTTTCAAAATGGCTACACCAATTCATATGCCCAGCAGCAGTGTATGAGAGTTCCAGTTACTTTACATCCTCATTGACCTTCATATTTTTGTCTATTCTTACCCCTTCATATATTCAGCTTGTAACTGCTATAACAATCATGGTGGGATTTGACCATGTGAACATACAGATCAATATGCAAAGAAGTAACATCTTTTCAACAGTGTCTGGTCCATAATTATAGTATATTCCTCCACTTATTTAGGTTTTAATTTCTGTCAATAAGATTTTAAAGTTGCCTTTCTAAATTTTAAACAGATAAATTAACAAGCTATGTATCACCTCTCCAAATCCTTGTGACCTACAAGCAAAATTAGTGCTCATCTACAGCAGAACAGAATAAAGTCAACATACAACGAGAAGCGAAGAGGAAAGACAGAGATCAGTGACCTAATCCCTGAATCAAGTCAATCCTGAGGCGAAATTCTCCTCTGACCGATACCAGAGGTTTTCTTCTCCTCCCTAAACATTAATCAATAAATTCTCTTTAAGTTAGCTTTAGTGTTTTGCAGTCATTTGCACTGGAAAGAATTGTAATACAGATATTTGGGATACAGAGTTTAGAGAACTTGCTGACTGACTGGGTGTGAGAAGCGAGGGAAAAGGAGTCATGAATGATGCCCAAGTTTCTAGCCTGGGCACCCAGGTGGAATGTGGTGTATTCACTGAGATGCAAAATTGACTAGGGGCTAAGGAAGATGACTAGTCTAGATTTGGATAGGTTGGTCTTGACTTGCGGGATAGGACATTCAAATAAAGATGCCTGGCAGGCAATAAGAAATATAGGTTTAAACCTGTGAGACATATCTGGACTGGAGTTAACTGATGTGGGACATAGCAGAGGGTAAGTAAGGCCATGGGAGTGGTATAAGATATCAGTGGAGGATATGGGATATAACTCTGAGGAACAATAACATTTAAGGTCCTGGAAAGGAGATCAAGGAGTGGCCACTAACCACTTCATAAGGCTTCATCTGGTAGTCTTTACTACAAATGATCAAAATTCACATATTTCACTTTGGTATAACTTCCCTATGTTTCAATGTTAAATTACTCTGAATAATGGCTGAAAAGACAATCCATATCTTCATTTCTGTTTCTTAAAGTTTGAGGTTTCCTAATACATTATGGTCCTTTCAAATATAATTAAATCTACTCCCTTTAAAAACTCAATTTACACTACTTTAAGAGATAACCTCTTTTCAACCAACAAGCTGAAAGCTTGAAGCTTATACAAAACAAAACTGCTAAGAGAGAGCAACTGAAGAGGAATGTGATGTTATTTAAGAGTACAGCAAATATGTCATAGGTTTTTTTTAGTCATTCTGTCACTTTGACTTCCTTTGAAAGCCTTTCAGAGGGAGGCCATTGCTGACCCATACGAATGCAGCTGCATTGCCAATCTTACCTTCTTCTCTTACGTTATAGCCTGATCCACACAAGAGGATCAATACTACTCTACAGCAATTATAAATGTTGTAGCATTTTATGTAGTAATCCCACGGATATAAGTAAGACCAAAAAACTTATCATTACATATGCTTTTTGGTTATGTCAGCAATATTCCTAAGGTTGAATTATTCCTTTAGAATTTTATTTTTTTGTGTGTGAGGAAGATTGGTCCTAACATCTGTGCCAATATTCCTCTTTTTGCTTGAGGAAGAGGGTCCATGGGCTAACATCTGTGCCAGTCGTCCTCTATTTTGTATGTGAGCCGCCGCCACAGCATGGCTTGAGCAGTGTATAGGTCCACGCCCAGGATCTGAACCTGTGAACCCTGGGCCGCTGAAGCAGTGTGTGTGAGCTTAACCACTACGCCACTGGGCCAGCTCCCCTTTAGATTTTTAAAGCTTTAAAGATTGAATGAAATAACATATTTTGTTAAAGAAGAAGAAGAGAAGCTGAGTATTTGGTCTTAATTTTGAAATCAGACAACCAACTCCTTCGGCATTTCAGTAGCACAATTTGTCTGAAATTGGTTGAAGTTGCTTGACCATTTTATCTTTTTTTTTTTTTTAATAAAGATTTTATTTTTTTCCTTTATCTCCCCAAAGCCCCCCGGTACATAGTTGTATATTCTTCGTTGTGGGTCCTTCTAGTTGTGGCACGTGGGACACTGCCTCAGCGTGGTTTGATGAGCGGTGCCTTGTCCGCACCCAGGATTCGAACCAATGAAACACTGGGCTGCCTGAAGTGGAGTGCGCGAACTTAACCACTTGGCCACGGGGCCAGCCCCTTGACCATTTTATCTTAAGAATACCATAAGAATGATGACAAGTCAATAAATCTGATATATTTGGCCAGTTGGTGTGCTCTTGCAACTTAAGGATATTCAATACACTTCCAAGGATCTGCAAAACAAATAACGTGTTCTAAAAGATTATACTTAATTAAAAAATCTTTTGATTTACCTTTATTTCTGCTCCTTTTGATTTTTTCTGCCAATCCCATACAGTAAGCATATGCTCATTGGAGTCATCGATAACACATAAATGAATACCTGAATCCTAAAGAAAAGTCAATTAAAGGCATTTTAAAATTCTTAGATGAGGCTCAGTTTCTAAGAATAAACACTGTATTTTAAAACTGCCAACATTAACTTAACTTAATCCAAAATCCTTTAAACTCATGATTCCTTGAAACATAGTGAATATGCTATGTACTAAAACTGTATTTTCTTCAGAAATATAATAAAGATTCTTTTTAAAAAATATCTTCTATTTTTACTTTTTTCCTTAGGTTGATTTCCACTTGCCATCTAGCCAATTCTATGATTCAGAGATAGCGAATAATTCATTTTGAGGATACCCTAACCCCTTCTGCATCTTATGCTTCCTTCTTGCTGACTGTATTTAAAGTATTTTCCCTTGAGGTAGGCATGAAATGTACATAATTTCCTAACTTTGCTCCTGACTAAATTTTGACAGTTTGATGGAACAAGCTAAAATTAATTGCTATTTTCCTAATTGCCAATTTCAGTTTTCCATAATATACCCAAGATACATTAACATGAATAAACAAGATAAATAAAAGCATAATTAAACTTCTTTCTGTCTGTTTTCCCAAAACCATTTCAGTCACACAATTTAAGTCTCCAAGCTTAAGAAAAAGGACAATGGATGATATTAAAAAATTACTTTTTTCTAGTAGTATTTGTAGTGTATGTCTTACGATGTCTATGGAACAAAAAAATATTGTGGTGAAGAGTGGAGGGTACTGAGGAAGGGCAGAGCTTACTCTCTTCTCTTTATCTTTCTCTTAGTCTGTATTGGAATGATTAGCTAAACTAGGAAATGTTGTAGTATGAGGCAATCCAAGACAGTCTTAACACTGTAACCATGGTATCAACAAGATGACGACAGTTTCTGCTGTGGAAAGATGTTAGAGGGGAAAAAGGTAGTAAAAGCATTTCCTTTCTGTCCTCTTATCTCTTTTTTTAAATGCCTTTCTCCCAATTCATAACTCACTGGACCCCTTGACATTCAGTGCCTTCAAGCTGGCAGAGTTCCTAAATCCACTCAAATGTATCTTTCTGCCCTAAAAATGTTCTCCATGTCCCACAAAACTCCCATAATCCCAAATATAGCTACTGATAGCTAGGAACTGAAGAGACAATACAAATACATAAATATATTTTAAAAGTATGAACAAGGCCAAATAAAACCCAGACGGATCTTTATATCTGAAATTAAAAATTATGGATCCTAAAATGCAAAAGAGGTCTTCTGTATATCCTATAATAATTACACATAATTCAAGAATAAAGAGAATGTTTAAATGAGTAACATCTTGTTTTATTTTCCCCTCAGAATAAACCCTCAAGGCTTAGATAAGATGGCTAGACACTGAATTTTAAACTCATGTTGTTATCAATTCAGAACTAAGATAATTCATGATTTTAGTGAATACAAAGGTCTATTTCTTTTGCTCCAGCACGACACCAAGAAAAGCCAATATTTATGCAGAATTGGCCAAGTTTCATATATGTGAATTTTCTAAACAAAATAGATCTCCATGATTCAAGCTGAAGCAAAAGCACATCCTATTGCTTGTTTCAATTGCACTATGCTGTGTATGTATTCCTTTTACCATTTCCTCCTACTACACTGGAATCCTATTTCAGGACAGAACAAAATTAAGTTTAAATAAGTATAATATCCTGGATCCTATCTAAACCAAAGTACTTTAGTACTTAGGATAAAATGCTGGCCGCTGCTAAGCAATAGCTAACATCTTATTTTTCAATTTAGAGTTATCACTTTCTATGAACACATATACACAAAATTGAGCTCAACTTCTTTTCCACTTCTTAGCACAACTGTTCACTTCTTTAAAAATAATAACTTACTGCTTTTGAAAAATCCAGGGATCCTACTCCTCGCTCAAAAGTTCCAAGTCCAATAACTTGCAGTGTGGATAGACTAACTGAATCCCACACTCTGACATGGGGTTGCAGAGGCTGCAAAAACAAGAGGAAAAATGCAAGATAGCATGACCAACTGGAATTCAAGTGGATGCAAATAAATACCACTACCACACAGAAGAGTCTGTCATCTTTAAAAAGCAATAGGGATGGATAAATATCTAATTAAAAATAACTACTATTGGGACCAGTCTCATGGCTGAGTGATTAAAGTTCTCTGCGCTCTGCTTTGGTGCCTGGGGTTCACAGGTTCAGATCCCAGGTGTGAACCTACTCCACTCATCCGCCAGGCTGTGGAGTCATGCCACATATAAAGTAGAGGAAGGGGCTGGCCCCGTGGCTGAGTGGTTAAGTTCGTGTGCTCCGCTTCGGCAGCCCAGGGTTTCACCAGTTCGAATCCTAGGCACGGACATGGCACCACTCATCAAGCCATGCTGAGGCAGCGTCCCACATGCCACAACTAGAAGGACCCACAACTAAAAACACACAACTATGTACCAGAGAGGTTTGACGAGAAAAACGAAGAACAAAATCCTAAAAAGAAAAAAAAAAAAGTAGAGGAAGACTGGCACAGATGTTAGCTCAGGGCTAATCTTTCTCAAAAAAAAAAAAAAAAAAGAGGAGGATTAGCAACAGATATTAGCTCAGGGTGAATCCTCTTCACAAAGAAAAAAAAAATCGCTACTACATTTAGACATGCCCCCAAAGAATCTTCAGCAGGTATTTTCTTCTCATACCACGAAAATAAGGACATAATGACAGTGATAATAGTAGTAATGATTTGAGTATTTACTCTGTGCCATATAGTATTCTCAAGTACATCACATGTATTAATTTATTTAATCCTATGAGCTATATACTATTATAATTACCAGTTAACATATGAGGAAACTGAGATACAGAGATTTAAATAACTTGCCAAAAGTTATACAGCTATCGAAAGGTGGAGTTGGGATTCTAAGCCAGGCAAATTTGCTCTGGATACCCTGCTTTTTGCATTACCTTCATTCCTGGGAAAATAATACTTTACTTTAAAAAAGTCAGACTCCAGTAAATTACAAAGCAAACAGTCCTTAAATAGAATTTGGAACTGGAAGGGGTCTTAGAAGTCATCCAATATAACCCCTCCCATTCCTTTTCTTTAAAGAAACTGAAGCCAGAGAATGTCATAAGTACAGTCATACATATGTTAATCAGTCATCATTAATATTTACTGTTGACCCTTACAAATAAGGAATTTGTTATGTAAGCCAATTTAACAATACTGAAGAGCAACTAAAATTTTTTAAGTGTTTATCAGTTCTAGGCATATATAAAATCAAGAGGTCCATCAATTTAGGGAAATTGCAGTACCTTCTGGCAAACATTAAGTTATTCTGTTTTTTTTTTAAAAAGTAAGTAGTTCATCAGCCTTCCTATTTTTACAAATAAATAGTTTTCTTAGGGAGAACACATTTTTTAGAAAAAAATATTTAAGTAGTATGATTCTCTCTTGGTTTTTGGAACGTTCTTACATTCTAATATTTTTTCCCCTGCTTATACTAGAAATCCCTTAGTAAATTTTTAAAGAGTAAAATAAGTAAGCTGTGGTTAAAATTACAAACAATTCCATTTTAATAGCAATATCACTAGGTACAGAATGCATAAAACTGTGCCACTCACCCTTCCATCTTTATCCACTCCAGCTATCTGTCCAGTTGCAATCCTAATTTTGTCAGGATGTATAGCAAGGCTAAAAATTGGTATTAACAACAATTTTATATACAGGAAATGTGAAACAGCAGAAATATGCCTTAGTATCAACAGTTTTCAAACAAATCATTTTTAATCATAAAAAACCTACTGTGATCAATTTGTTTTATTTTCTTCAGCAAATCAAATAAAAATCAATTATTTAAAAAAACTTCTTTTCCAAGTTTTCAGCTGTACTTTTTCTTTCTTGTTTAAACTGAACAAATTAATGGAACACTAAATTTGAAGAAAATATTTCTTCACAATTATGACATGATAACAAATTTAACTGTTTTCATTTGTTCAATTTCCTCCCTACTCCTGCACGTAAGTATATTTACATGATTTTATCATAGTGAAGATGCAATATTTCATTGTGTAATTTTAATCTATTAAAATATAAGCATTTTTCCATTTTGCTACATAATCCTTATGCATATTATTGATTTAACAGCTCTTCTATAATTTCTGCTTTTCTACAAAGGCACATAGCAGTGAATACCTTCACACATAGTGCCTCCAACTTTTTAATTAGTTCTTAATCCTAAACTCTTATGAAGTCAAATTTGGGGCGAGGAACTTTTAAGTACAAACTGAAAACAGTGCAGCATATATGCCCTAATTGATCATGATAAACATATGAGTGACTAGCAAAATTTTTAAAAAAGACATCTTCATGTTCATTTCTAGAATCTTTCTACGTCTTGCAACCAAGGGGTAAGCTCAATTGGAAACACAAATTTTTTGTTCTTAGTATGTATTGCTCATTACTTTCCAGAAGAATAGTATCAGTTTAAATTGTCATAAGAAATAAAAGTTTTACTACAACTTCCCAAAATTAAGAATTACATCTTTTAAAATGCCTTGATAAGTTGGTATAAATAGTATCTTGTCTTAATTTCTTCAATTACTAAGGAGGCTAGAGTTTATCAACATGTTTCTTTAATTCTATTTCCTTTTACTTAAATAGTTTATGTCCTTTATTGAGGTCAACTACGTTAAAAGTAACCAAAAATCTAGCACAGTAACATGTTGCCATATTTAATTCAGATCTTTTAAAACACATTTTAAAGAGTAAAATTTCTGGATTAGGTAATACATTTGCATGGTTCATGTATCAAAAGCTAAAAAAAGACACACTGAGAAAAGTTTCTTTCTACCCTGTCCCATCTGCTAAGATCTCATCTACCTCTCTACTATCCCACACCCTGCAACCCCAAATCAGGTAATCGTTGTAATCAGTTTCTTTTTATTAATAATTCTAGAACATTTTTATATATGTAGAAGCCAAGACACATATTTACTTTCCACCTCCTTTTTACACAAATGGTAGAACACTGCACACATTTTCCTATTCTTTGTACTTGGGAGCATATCTTAGGCATCTTTCCATATTAATACATACAGAACTTCCTCATTCTTTATAGCTGCATGGTAACCTATGGGCACACCACAACTTCACTAGTCCCCAACTAAAGGACACACAGACTTCTAATCTTTCCTATCACAAACAATGTTGTAATAAAGAGTTTGTACATAAACTATTCTTTGAGTGTTAAAGGCAATATTTTAGTATCTCTAAAAGTTTACCACTATCTATATAATATTCTAATAGTCATATATTAATTTTTTTCTAGATAAAGATACAGTTGCCAGAATAGTACAGACACAGAGAAGCTTTTAAATGTTGGAAAATAATGAATTTAAGCAATAAATGATTAAACTTAACCAAGAAGTAGCAAAACTGAGTAACTGTAAAACATGCCGAAGCATTTAAAAGTTCTCGTCTTTAGTTTGACATCTTATAGGATACTTATGATCCTTATTCAGCCATGATTTCTTTCTCCCAAAAAGAAAAGCCTGAAGTTCAAAATTTATCTGCAGAGAATAAATCTTCAATAAATATTCAGTAACCAATAATTACTCTCAAAATCTGTACAAGTTCAGTGTGCCCACATATATTTGATACAACAGGCCAGAACAAAAGGACCATAAAGGATCTGAGAAAGAAGAGGTTCCAATCAAGATTTACAGGGAATATGCTGCTGACACCACACCAACCATTTGAGGCCTATAAGTCCTTTTTTCTTTTTAGAATATATTCTACAGAATGCCCATAATATCCTTAAGTTCTGAGCACTCCACAAGAAATCACTTCCAATAAAACCCAAATAAAAAAAAAAGAGAGTATGAAATCAAAAAAAGAACAAATGTTAAATGATACCAACCATTTCACACAGTCTGTATGACCCAGGTAGTGTCGTTGAGTTCTCTCCTCGTAATTAAATAGTACTACTACTGATGCTATGAAATACACTATTTCCCCGGTAGGAAGAAGGTAAACATTAGCTCGACAGTCCTTTCCTCGATAACCATATCTTAAAGAAAGAGTCAAGGTTTTTAATAAACATAACTTTCAAGGTGTTAAATTAACAATTTTTTCATGGCTTCTTAAAGGAATCAGGAAGGTATAATGAAAAAAGGACTGACTGGAACTAGAGAACTCAAATCCGGCCATTATCTCATGGGGAACCCTGAGTCTTTTATGAGCTTAAATCTTAGTTTCCTCATTCACCAGACAAATACATACTGAGTTCCTAATATGTGTCAGGCACAGAGCTGAACACATAGTTCTGAACAAAACAAATGTGGGGCCTGTGTCCCTGGAGCTTATGCTCTGGCAAAGATGACAAAAATAAATACCAAATATATCATTAGAAATTGTGGAAAGAAAAATAAAAGGATGGTAGGAGAAAGCATAAAAGAAAGATCTAATTTAAACAGAGAGACAAGAAAGGGATCAGAAGAAGGGCTATTTGAGGAAGTGACATTTATGCTTGACCTAAATGATGAGTAAGAGAGAGCCAGACAGAGTTTGGTAGGCAAAGTGTCTGTTAAAAAGTTGTACAGAATTACAGGATTGGTGAGTTTTCCCAAGCTAACTTCTGCAGAAAGGAGGGAATGATTCAAGGGGTGGGGGAAGAGGGCATAGGAGAGTGGAAACAGAAGGCAGAGTTCAAACTATTAGCTCCTTTCTTCTTCAATGTTCTAAGAGAAGTGAGAATTTCTAAATGAAATTAGGAGAGCTGTTTTATATAGTCATTTTTTTTAAAAGCATGGCTGTGACAAAGTTAATTTTGGAATTAGAAGCAACTTTGCTAATCTGGGGTCTTAATAACATAATCAACATTATTTCACAGGTTACAAAATGATTAACTGACGTTTTCTTATTTAATTCTTAAAACAGCTTGGTGAGGTAGGGGTTATTAACCTCTCTTCATATGTGAAGAAAGCAAGACTCATTGGGAGTAAGCGGCAGAGCCAAGACTCAAACACTAGTCTTCTGATTCCAGTTTGACGCCTTTTCTACCATACAAGTACCTGCATGATGTTCACAGAATACTGCTTGCCCTATCCAAAGATACTAATTTTGGTGGTTTTAAACTTGCTTTTAATAGTAAAAGGATTAGAGATGACATCTCTTTACTTTCTCAAGTGGTTGTTATGTTTATCACATTTACTTTTTTGGTAGAAAGAAAATTTTGATAGAGGTTAGGTAAACTAATTTTTTTTAAACTCAAGGCAAAGCAAACAAATTTGCTGTCATAGCAGAGAAGGATACACCCACTCCAGTTTGAGCTTCTCAGGAGGCAGTTCTGTTCTGATGTCATCATAGTTGTCAACATCAGAAGGAATGAACATTGTAATTGGCCGACCTCGCATAAACATTTTAATATATTCTCCTTCTGTTGAAACAAGACAAAAATTAAGTCAGACATATTTTCTGAATAATTATAGAAAAGTGGATTATTACGTGATACAATAAAAACAAGACAAAAGATAGCTACTTCAGAGCTTTATTCTCGGTATATATAATTGTTTCTGTACAAAGACCTAGTCCAAAACATTGTGGGGAAAAAACTATTGTTCATTTCCTTAAATGAGAATAACTATTTTCATAATTAGAATATAATTTATCTGTTTAAGTTGCCATATTTCAACAAGAAGGCCAGGAAAGTCAAAGTTGAAAAATGCAAAAGAAAATTTTATGATGGAAATTTCTGTGACAGTTGAAAAGAGGAGATTATCAGAGTAGACAACAACCATGCCTACCACACTACTTGATCATCCTACTGATGCTTAATGACATACAAAAAACATGGCCTCAGAATACACCACAAGGAGAGGAGTCAAACACCCTCGTAAGACAGGACGGGGAGAGAGACTGAGAGTTCTACTACACACGGCAGTGAGTAGAGCTGGGAGGGAAAGAGGACCAACTTCCGTCGCTTCACAACTGTGCCTATAAATCAGCGTTGAGTCTAAACAATGAATTCAACAATAACACACTAACATTTTTAAGACAGTGCTGGGAAACAGTTTTCTAATTAACAGCATAGGTTCCAAAATATCTTTTATTTATATAAAGCAATAATGTCTACAAGTTCTGCAATAGTTTAAATCTAAAAATCTTAAAAAGACAAGTCTAGAATCAATATTTGTGGTACACTTTTTACAAAAGGAAACAATACTTCACTTAGATGAGATTGTTTCTTATGCCTTTAAAAAACAAAAACACCCAATCTTGATCCCAGCATCCCAATGACCTACATACAGATAGGCTTAATAAATGTTGATGGTGATTGTGAAATGATTACAAAAGAACCTAAAAGGGAAGGAGAAAGTGAGAAACTGAGTACTAAAGCATAAGAAATGTCTAGCACTTGCCAACTTGTCTGGTATGATATGAAAATAGCATTAGAAACAGACTGAAAATGTGGTCATCAACCAGAAGCTGATACAACCTTAGGACCACTAATAATGACTAATTACTAAGAAGAGTACATAGTAACTGACTAATTGATATGATGCAAACCATGGAAGAGGAGGAAAGATAAATTACTCGCTGAATATCTGCAGGTATTTCTTTAAAGTCAGATTAAAAAATTGTGCTTGTTATTATGGGTGAGAAGTTCAAATTATTTGTATTATTATTATTCACAGTGTGCTTGGCCTCAGGGTCTGCTCTAAGAAGAGGCTAAGACCTCCCACGCCATGGTTTTAACACTACCTGACGTCTGTATTACTTCTGAATCTAAGAGTGGGCTCTGCTTCCTGATGATTTTTAACATAGCTGGACTTTGATGACAACTAAATGATTACCAGCTGCAACTATTTCCCTTCTGCAATCTTTATCTGTATCTCCTTGTCCCTTTTTTATATAGTTTACTTTCTTATAGATGTCAATTTGTTACACAATTTTCCCTCTAGTTGGGTCCCCCCCACCCCCACCCCTAGCAGAGGAAGGTTAGTCATGAGCTAACACCTGTGCCAATCGTCCTCTACTTTATATGTGGGTTAGTGCCACAGCATGGCTGACGAGTGCTGTAGGTCTGTGTCTGGGATCTGACTCATGAACCTGGGCCGCCGAAGCGGAGCATGCCAAACTTAACCACTATGCCACGGGGCTGGCCCCTAGTTGTTTTTTTTTTTTAAGAATATAAATTCGCAAAGGCAGATATACTGTCCTTTGGAATTTCTCCCAGGATCTTTGATCAGAGGTGTATAATATAAATGCTTTCTGAATGAAAAAATAAAACATTTAATAGATGCTTCTATCACCACTTAGAAGAGACTGTATGTCCAGCAGAAGCAATGGGTCCGGGACAGTATCAAAGAAAAAGAACGTTCTCCTTTGCTACTAGAGATAGTGCAGAATACCGTATTGACTCCTTTATCGACTGTCAAGCAGCATGAGCAACTAAGTAAAAGCAAAGGAACTATCTATCTAGCGCTTGTCAACTTTTCTAATATAAGATAAAAATGGCAAGGCATGTTAGGATGGAAATGCTTTCCCTCACTGTAAACTGGGAGTATATATGTTGGAGGCCAAGTATACAAACTAGGCACTGCAAACAATTCCTGGGAGCGAGAGAGAGGCAATACATTATAGTGGAAAGAACAGGAGCTTTGGAAAAAGACTCAGTGGGATCTGAATCCAGCTGTACCCCTTACAAGCTGTGTGACTTTGGCCTCACTTTCCTAATACATAAAATGATAATACTACCTACCACTTGGAGTTATGATTGGTTAAATAAGATATCACACTATAAAGTATAATACGAGGTCCTTGACAAATATGTATTCCCCTTCCTTTGAGAAGGATTTGTGACCATTCTAAACACTACCTAGGAACTGCTTAAATACATGATTTAACACACTGTAATATCTCTTCATTAGTTTTAAAGTGACTGTCCACAGAACAGTAAGTATAGGCAAATAAGTTAGAATTCTGTTGATTCTATCACTTTAAAATAGGGATCACAAATTCAAACACCCACAGGCCGAGGCAGGAAATGCAAAATGAGAGCAGTGGGAGAATACAGGATGATTGAGGGTAGGGGCAAATGGCATATCCCATACCCCAGCTCAGGGAGGCAGCAGCTGGTCATCTCCACGAAAGATGTGGGCCCAGTGTTGTTAGATCTCATTTTTCAAAAGAAATAAGAAAGCTATAATTTACTGTGAAATCTCCCAATTTTTAAAGGTTTACTCCTTTGCCAAAAAGGGGAAAATACTATGTGAAAACACACCTTTGGCCTGCAGGCCACACAGGTCACTAGTTGGCAACCTCTTTTTTTTAAAGAAGACTGTCTTTACCCTGGGAATTAGGTAAAATACATAGATGAGGAAGAGCCTCTTTCCTCCTCAATCACTGTTGAGTCAAAGTCCTACTGCAAACTTCATCCTGAGACTATCAGTCTTCTTGATCTTACCGTCAAAGGACTGCACAATCAATTTGTTTCTTTTACCCCAATGCTATTTTCTGGCTCTCCCCACTGTAAACTATGATGGAAGTCAAGGAGAAGGGACAGGCAATGGGACTGGTCAAAGAAGAGTATGAAACCAGTAACATTAACACAAAGTTTGATGGTTCAGAAAAAGAATGTGAGGAAAAGAAATCATTAAACTCTCTATCTCCTGATAATTAGTAAACACAATATAGGGCTATCAGTATTTAATTATAAGGCTGCTGCTTACTGAAATGTGATTAATCTCAATATTTTATCTCCTATCTTGGCACCGTGAAAATTCCTGGGGCTGAGAGGGAGGCAATACAGTATAGTGGAGAGAACACAAGCTTTGTGATAAAGACAGACCTGGGTTTGAATCCTAGCTTTACCACTTACAAGCTTATGCTCAAACAAATAAAATTCTTAATTGAATCTCATCAATGACAGCTTAATTGTAAAAGGAGAAATTCTGTGGGATATTGTTGATAAAAACACCATAAAGGCCATTAGTTCATTTCTCTAGACACAAATAATGTTGGAACTGGAAGAATCTTAAAGCTCACCTAGTCCAACTCCCTACTTTTACAGAAGGGGAAACCAAGGCTCAGAGAGGTCAAATGAGCTTTCAGAGTGTGTTCCAAATTTCGTCCTGGGATAGGCTAGACGCTGGGACACATTTTCATTCTAAAACTATGTTCTAGAGCTGCACTAACCAAAAACGATAGCCGTTGGTTACTGAACACTTAGAATGTGACTAGTCTGAATCAAGACATGCTATAAACATAAAATACACACCAGATTTTGAAGACTTGGTAAGGAAAAAATAAGTAAATTATCTCATTAATGATTCTTATATTGACCACACATTGTAATAAAGTTCTGGATATAGTGGGTTAAATATATTAAATTTAATCTTACCTGTGTCTTTTTACTTTTTAAAATGTGGCTACTAGAACATTTTAAATCACATATATGTTATATATTATATTTCTACTGGACAGTACTATTCACAGAACAGTGTTGGGGTCCTCAGCCTAGTCCACAGCAGTCCAATGACCTGACAAGACATTTTACTTATAATCCAAATGGTACTAGCTTGACCTCTGGATTCCACCAGTAGGAAGTCAGAGACTACAACAGAAGAGACAGAAGATATTTCCACTCTATTATTTTTGGGAAGAGTGAATGCTGGGCAAAATTTGAAATACATGATGCTACATCTTCCTTTCTGTGTCCTTCTCACACACCTCCTAGCATTTCCTCTTCAGTCTCCTCAGGTTTTGTTAACTCTTCTACTTTAGCATCCCCCCAGGCTGTCCTATTCCCCAAAGTGCTCCAAATTGCAGAATGATCTTCATATTCCCTAATCCAAACATTTTGGGATAGTTATCTCAGGTGTTCTGAGAAAAGCTGCACTGCTGACATGATTCATACTGATGTAAATAACTGGTTGTTAAAGTTATTTATATTCTATTTAAGATGCTTATCAAAATTTATCAATCTTTCACAGATTGTGACAAAGTGAAAGGAAAAATTCAGGTAGAGGGGTGAAGACAGTTAGCACTGGGCACACTCTGCTCCAAGATCAGTTCCCCCAGTGCTTTTTTCCACAGCTTGCTCTATTTCTGGACTTAGAGATTTAAAAAGAAAAAAAAAAAATCTTTCAAAGCAATAGCAGAGCTTCAGAGGTTCCCTGGAATAGGACTGGATTTATTTGTATAATGTGTACTGCCTGCAGAAAGCCTTCTGAACTTCTAGAATGCTTACAGTTTAAAGCATCTTTCTCACAAAAGCTTCCACTTTAGGAATTCATTTTTATTTGTGTTTTACAATCTTTAGAACTGAAGTGCCCCCCAAAACTGGAATTTGAACTTTATATTTAACTAAAATGTAGCCCAGTGTGATGCTACCTAATTCCAGCAGACAGACAATTAAAGAATCTTTACTTAGCTTGAGGTTTTTTGCAGACAAACACTAACAGTTCTATTCCCCAAAACCTAAAGCTAAACAGTCAAGTAAACAAGATGCTAGAAATATTGACTACAATTTTATAGTAGAAAGTAACAAAGACCATTTTAGGTAGGCTAAAATCTTTTCTTAAAAACAATTTATTTCCAAACAAAAGATTTCAAGTCCCAGTTAATGACCCAGTTATATTGTAATAATAATTTAATATTTTAAAATTCCAATGAAACAATATAATCTGTAGGGATCTATGGACTTTGAACAAGGAACTTGATTTGTACTAAGCCATAAAGTCTAAATTTCACCCCTTTTCAAAGCTCTAGATGTAAAAATAGTTAAATAATAAAATGAAGATTCCCAAATAAAAAACTAGGGAGGGTGAACTTAGAAGGATATAATCTCTCTTATTTCATAGATTTAAAAAATTCTTAGTTGTGATGCTTGTCAAATATTATGCAGTTAGTTTTACTGGCTAGGACAAGAACTCTGAAAAATCTGACTGAGTACTAAAATGCTACCTTTTCTTTGTTTTATAGGCAGAGTTCTACTGGCTGGTAAATTTTACTGAATTCTTAATTACATGGGGACGGGGCAAGGGTGCACAATGGAGATATAAAAGATGTGAGCCTAGCCCCTTAGGAGCTTAGAACAGAGACGCAACCAAGTGTTATGCTAATCAACTCTTATACTAATTACAGTAATAAGCCAACTTGCAGTTAACTACTTTTTTGAATCTAAACTTCCTTTAATTAGATTTCTCTTTGCTGGTTTGTTTACAACTGTGATTGTCACAAAATTACTTGAAAATATCAGATATGAGTGTTCGCTTAAGCATTTTACATTATTTTTACTGCCTGGAAAGGCTTTCTTTAGGAAAAGATGGGAAAGAAATCTATTCCAACAATGTAAGACACATAAAACTTCTAAAAGACTAGATATATTGCTGCAAACTTTGAAGCAAAATATGGTTGCATTTTAAAAACTCCCTCAAATCACTCATTTATATCCCCAGGAAAAGATATTGTAAGCAAATAAAAAAACCTCTCATTTTATCTCACTGTATCAAGTTGGATTCAATTTCTTAAAAATAAGAAATTCAAAAAAGAAACTTCACATGGCAAAATATTTATCCCTTTAGCTCTTTTTTTTTTTTTTTGAGGAAGATTAGCCCTGAGCTAACTACCACCAATCTTCCTCTTTTTGCTGAGGAAGACCGGCCCTGAGCTAACGTCTGTGCCCATCCTCCTCTATTTTATACGTGGGAGACCTACCACAGTGTGGTTTTTGCCAAGTGGTGCCATGTCCACACCCGGGATCCAAAACGGCGAACCCCGGGCCGCTGAAGCAGAACGTGGGCACTTAACTGCTGCGCCACCTGGCAGGCCCCACCTCTAGCTCTTTCTCAATTAACTATAGTACGAAGAGAGTCAGGAGGGCCTAGGTAAACAATAAAAACTTGCATATGAAATTCAAATTTAACAGGATTAAGGAGAAGCTTCAACTTTATCTCGAATGTTTTATTTCTTAAAAAAAAAAAACTGAGGAAAATAAAGCAAAACGTAGAAATCTAATAAACCTGAGTGGTCAGTATATGGCTGCTTGCTATATTGTTTGCATACAATTTTAGAGAGATCAAAATATTTCACAATCTTTAAAAAGTTTAAAAAGCATTATTAAAGGAAATAATCAATAGGATATTTTTGGTGAAACTGTTCCTCAGAGAACCAACTATGAGTACAGTTCAGGAGTGTGGCATGTAATTTACTATGCCTTTTCTTCCAATCTTGGTATATGTCACTGATCAACTGTACCTCTTTTCTGCAAAACCTAATCACAAGTTTCAGAATTCTTTTCAAAGTGCTTCAGGGAAAGAGTAACAATTGCTAAGTGAGCAGCACAGCATGGAATCTAATCGCCATTACTAGACAGAATGAGTTTCTGACTATCACATCTCAGTTAACTGGCACGCTTGAGGAAAGGAGATTTTCTACTTAATTGCACTTCCTAGTTTAGATTTTTTTTTTTTTTAACTTATGCCTATGGTTGTGAAACTGCAGTATGGGTGAAAAGTCTTTAACCGGAATAAGATAAATACGCACAAGACTAGGACGTTCTCTTGTGACTAGACATATTCTCCACGTCTAAAGAAGACAGTCAGGCTTCTTTCTGAGTTAAAAATAAGGAAAGAGGATGCTAAGAACACACCTTCTTAGAAGTTGGGATAGTTTGTATCAAAAAAAATTGGACAGCCTTTAAATATATTTTAATCTAGAAGACTGTTACCGACAATAACATCAAGAAATCAGATCTTGGGGGCCAGCCCAGTGGTGCAGTGGTTAAGTGCACACGTTCTGATTCAGCAGCCCAGGGTTTGCCAGTCCGGATCCCGGGTGCGGACATGGCACTGCATGGCAAGCCATGCTGTGGTAGGCATCCCACATAGAAAGCAGAGGAAGACAGGCATGGATGTTAGCTCAGGGCCAGTCTTCCTTAGCAAAAAAGGAGGAGGATTGGCAGCAGATGTTAGCTCAGGGTTCATCTTCCTCAAAAAAAAAAAAAAAAAGAAGTCAGATCTTTGATTCACAGGGCTTTAAAAAAGTCTCCAACAGAGAAAAGGGCCCCCTTTTTGGTCTCCTTTTAAAATAGAGACTACTTGGACAAAGCACAGACCTAGAGATCCAAGGAATGTTTATATAGCTTATTTAAAATGGGCCAATGTCTAAATTTTAAAAGTGAGTATATTTTTGGAAAATGCAGTATTTGGCTTCCTGCCCTTCCTGCTTATTCACAGTAAAACAGACTTAAAACTAGCACCCTTCTTCCTAAATTCTGGAACTGCAAAGTTCTGGATACCATCTCAATGACAGCAAGGAAAGATTCTATCTGCTGCTCAATTAAGGGCTTTTGACTTTTCTGGTTTGTTTCAAACTGTACACACTCTCAGCAGGTGACAACAAACACCCTCTCAGTAGGTAACACAATATACAGTAGGACACTGCTATCTTATACTCTTATAGGTAAATTTTAGCTATCCTATCAGATACAATGCTCAGTTTACACAGGTGTGATCAGGTTTTAGGACAGAACATGCCTAGAACCAACAGGTCAAAAAACAACACAAGTCTCTGAACAAAAGCCCTGCATTCAAATTCTTTAAAAGGAAGTTAGTGGAGATGGGGACTTGCCCTCCATTTTCTATTTGCTACAAGAACGAACTTCCAAAAAGTTATTAAAAATGAGACCCTTAGTGACGTATAGTCTAAGCCTACCTAAATGTGAGGAAACAAGGCCCAAGGTCTCAGAGACACAGGAAAAATTTATTATCACATGAACAATGTTTCATTTTTTCCATAATTTCCTTTGGCAAGTAGAATTTTGAGCTTCTCCTCAACCTATGCTCATAATTTTAGTCATTGTAGGATTCTGATTCTTTAAATCTCTGTGATACAGGTCATTTCAGCCCAGCTAGGTCTCATGCTTTACTACTCTTACGCTCTTTCCACTAAACCACTTTGCTTCCCTTTCCTAAATGAGGTGTCTAATGGAGCTTCTGTTGCTTAGAATGAATCCATATTTTATAAATGTCATGTTAACAAATACAAAATTGTATGCACACTATGATCAACGACCTCCTTGCTGTTAATAACACAGCAAGAAAGCTCTTGCCTCGGGGCTTATGTTCTTCCAGTTATCTCTGCTCACGAAATTCTTTTCTCCAGTTATCTACATATTTCCCCCACTTCTGTCAGGTGGCTCAAATGTCACTTTATCAGAAATGTCTTCTCTAACCACTCTACATAAAATAGCAATTCTCTACTCTCCTTACTCTTTCCTAATATGTATTACCTCCTGATATATTAAATATTTATTACCTGTTTCTTATATGTAGAACGTAAGTTTCCGAGTCCAGACATTGTAACTGCTGTACCTCTGAGTGCCTAGGACAGCGCCTGACAAAACCAGCACTCAACACATATTTGTTAAATGAATTAATATTTCAAATGTGTATGTGATAAAGAACAATATAGAAACATATCAGAACTGTAATAGATGCTAAAATAACAAGATTATTCAGGTGTTTTTTTACCTTTCTCCAATTTTGTAAATGAGTTTATATTACATATTTTAAAATTATTTGAACTGTTTGGCTACAACAAATTACCAAAGGATTTTAGACAGTATGTATTTCAAAACGCCTTTTAAAGTATTTTTCACCTGAAGCCATTTTTAGACAGGTAGTTAGTAAGAAATAGTTGATTACTTCTCGATTTTCTAAGGTATTATAGTAACTGTCTTCCATCTAAATACACCTGTAGTTAGGATATTACCACATTGATTTGGTAGTTAAACAAAAAAGAATCTAATCTTAAAGCAGTGAGGTAGCCCTGTAAGAGGAAGTAAGAGTGTGATTTGGTGATTGATGAGTTCTTTTCCTCAATTAAGCAGATGTCTCTCCAGTAGGCATCTGAGTCATTCAGGTTCTCAACATGACCAGATAATTAATTATATGCTAATTCTAAACAGCAGAAGTTTAAGATGCTACAAGAGAAAAATGATTTAAGATTACTGAAGCCTGAAAAAAACAGCAACATGCAATAATTTGAGGACATTCAGGTTCTGCTCTGGAAATGAGGACATGTGACACATTTTCCATATTTAAAAAACGTAATATACTTGAGAACTATTATAAGGATGAGGTTATAGTTCCCCAAGTTAGCTCAAAAAACTTTCTAATCAGTAACTTATCAAATGAATAGTATTATATTGAAACCTAACTGCTATATTTAACAATAAATAGTTCTACAGGAAAATTTATTCATGGTTTAACTTGATACGCTAAGTCTTTATTTCTCTTGCGGTGGGAGCAGAATCCAACAGAACTAGAGAGAAGATTAATGAAAAGGGGTTTAGGCTTCAGGAATTTGAGTAGAGATAAAGATCTAAGTCAGTGAGAGCCTCATTTTAGTGGTATAACCTATCCTTCCTCCCACATCTAGCCTCAGAGATTGCCTTGTGGACATCCCATTCCTAATGCTTTCAACCAGGCTTCCATCTGCCTAACTGCTATTCAGAATATGCAGTTTCACACCTCTTCTACTCTGCTGTGCCAGAAGGACATAGGCCTTCCAGGTAAAGTTTTCTCTGCTATCATTCACCAAAATGTACCAAATGTAAATAGGCTGCTTCCCAAATCAAAGCAGATGGCTTGGAGCAAGTCACACTTGCCATTGTCAGTAAAGTGGTAGAGAAATTAATGTCATATTTTTAAAAGATTGTCCAAAAATGAAAGATGTTTTGGATTAATATCTACAGTATAAGAAATTGTGTTGTAAATATGCTATGCAAAACGAATGCCAAACTTTTAAAATAGATCCGCAACTTATATCAAACGAAGATCATCCATTTAATGGTCTTTCCATCTTACTCTACACATTTGAGTGCAAAGTTTTACTGTTAACCAAAATCTGTTTGGTACTACGTGCCAAGTACTATGTTTAAACACTTTATTATTATGTTTAATTTTTATAATAACCTTTTGAGAGTTTACTATTGTCTCAATTATAGATGAGAAAACAAAGACTTAAAAGAAGGTGAAGTAACCTGTTTAAGGTCACATAGCTAAGTAAATGGTGAACCCAGTCTCTGGACTCCAAAATACGCATGATTTAAACATCTATACTATGTTGCTTGATACACATCCGTACAAGTAGACTGTCTTATACACAAGCATAACTCTCCAAAACCAAACTCCTATTCTTTTCCACACATCTACTGCTTCTCAAATGTTCCTTAGTTTAGTAGATGCCTCTTATCTAGTTGCTCAAGCTAGCCTTCATAGATTCCCTTTGTTTCTTATCTCCTATACTCTACCTGTAATCTCCTAACCCATCTAGAATCCACCTCCTTCTTTGTACAGGCTCTGCATCAGTTTCAGTCAGGCCTGAACTACACAACAGGCTGAAGCACAATTCTCCTTGAAAATACACTCTAGTGATAGAGTCTATACTCCAGATAGAATACAGCTGATTAAAGTGGCAAAGGAATAAACTCAAATTCCAAAAATAAGGCTTAATGCAAGCAACATTTGACATTATTAAATTCCAACATCTGGGACAATCTTTTTGAGTTCAAATTCTTGTAAAAGAATTTAACTTATTTTTCTATTATCTTTTCCAGCTTTTCATTCCATCCTTCTTCCCAGACGCTGGCTAAAATTTATTTACTTGCTTACCTGAATGGTTTTGAAAACTGTCACCAACACAAACCACTCACTTATTATACACTAATCTTAAGATCCTTTTTCCTTCTGAAGAACACACCACAACATGAGAAAGAGGCACACAGCCCTTTCTCATTTACCCTACAAGGATTTTATAAAATGAGCTCTTTAGCAAAACATGTAATAATAGCACCATTTTTATAGTTAGAGTGTTTTCTATTTTTAAAGTACTTTCATATATAATATTTCATCCTTCAGCAGTCATGTGAAGTAAGCTTTATAGTTATTATTCTCAGATTAGAAAACTACTCCAAGTCATTGTCATCCTGCCCAGGTCACAAGGCTATTATGCAGGAGAACCAGGACCACTATACACAGATTTCATTCACTGCTCTTTTCACTATATACCACTACCTCAATTTTCAAAAATGTTTTGATGTATAATATGAATTGTCTCTGTAAATAAAATTTCATTTTATTCCTTAAAGTATTTCAATCATTACTTAATCTATACTTAATTATAAAGGAGAAAGTAAGATCTAACTAAAGGAGAAGCATGTCAGCAAAAATCAACTTCATTTAGAATTTCTATATAAAAACAAATGATCCAAAGAAGATTACAAATAAATATTTCTTTTCTTATTAGAACCAAAGAAAGTAAAAATTCATAGGAATTAAGTTAAATCTCTAACAAAAACTTTAACTACATTGTAGCTGATTAATGTACTAGCCCAGAAAATGAAGATAACTGTGACACATAGCAATGAGCTGTAACAAGCATGCATAGAAGGGACATGCTCTCATTTAGAACAGCATGCTTCCAGTAAATCTGCAGGCAATCTAAGGAGAATGTAAAACTGATGTATAAAACTTACCTACTTTGTAATTAAATTAAATACACATTTACAGAAAGTCTGCTCTCCTTTTTTGGTCAGAACAAGCCAACAACAGCAAGTAGCTAGAAATTACAATTAATATAAAAAAATTTAAGAGGAAATGGATTTGCTAGACTCATTATGTTTTCAGTCTTAGCTTCAGGAAATGAGTGATTATTTGCAATGAAGTTGGCAAGACAGGAAATTGAGTTAAAATTTATCAATCTCTTAAATGGCTTTTCTGAGTACAACTTCCATTTTTTTTAAGACGCGGGAAAATTCCCTTTAGTATTTTATAGTACCTCTTTGCAATGCTATATTTATTTCTACTATTGATCTTGAATATCTCTAGATCTCACAGAAATAAGATGGACTTTTAGAAAAGTAGTTGGATTCTCTAGTTCAAATGACCATATTTCCTTTATTATGAGGAAAGTCAGGCAGTATAAATAATGAAAAGCCAAATAAGAGATCCAGGAAGAAATTAACTTAGAAGATGGCTAACTGTGTAGCTTATTCTTACCTTGGCTGTTTTTTTCACGGGTTGACATTTTTGCTGGTTGAGACAAAAATGACATTATCTTACAATAAAAATTGGACATTTTCTTAAATGACTACAATAACGCACTTCTCTGATTACTATGAACTAATAAAGTACACTGAATGAAAATAAGTCAAGTCTTATCAATTAGCAAAAATTTAACTGATGTAGAAAAGCAAGATAAATATTTTTTTAAAAAGGATTTTTAATTTACCTTGGTTGATGATGACATCTTTATGCCTACAAAAGGAATTCAAAGACATTTATTTTATAACTATTTGGCTGACCATAAGAATCACCTGAAGAAACTGTAAAAGCTTCAATGCCTAGACCACACCCCAGATAAATCTCTACAAGTGAAATTCAGGCATCAATATTTTTAAAAGTTTCTCACTGGTCTCAAATACTAATAATATATACTGTTTTATAAAACAACGAATATTCCATAAGATCACCTAAATTGTGAAAACATAGAAAGAACTTATGAACAATACTCAAATTTTACGAGATTATTGAGATTTATTATTTGAGTTGGGGAGCATTAACAGGAAGACATAGCACACTTTTAGAACACGTAAGAAAAAAATACACTTGGAAGAAAAAAAGAAATAATATAGATTTTTTAAAAAAATGATTCAAACCAGGCACATAATTGTACACATGCAAACATGACAGTCACAGAATTATTAATTTTCAGATATAAGTGAGAAAGTGTAATACTTACTTGTCTGTATTTTTTATAACTTTTGATATTAATTTTGATGTTGAAACTGCCCTCAATAATTTATTACGACTATCATCTGAATTTTCCCACGAATTATGTGCCTTTTCAGCTGTTGGTTGTCGTTTTATGCTGGAAGAAACATATTAATTTCTTAGAGAAAAATTCTATGAGTAGCAATGACATGTAATTGACAGTTTAAATAGAACACAAAAGCAGCAATTAACATTTCCTTAAAGCTAATTCAGAAAAGAGAAGAAAGGATTAGTTGAAAGGTTCTGCTTGGATGAGTGAAGGAGTTAAACAAGGCAATTAGCAAGTCTATTTTATAATTTTCATTATTGTTCAGAAGATTCACTAGAAAAAATATTACCTGATTTAAAAAAACCCGTGTACCTTTTGTTAGTAGAAACTCATTTGCTTAAATCTCTGAGTAATAATATTTCTCATAATTTGTGACATTGTGTGAATTTATGGAAAAACCTGTACTGTTTCATAGTCATTACAAGGCTGCTATTTTCATTTTTAACGTCCTCATGTAATTAAATTGTATGTGGTACAAACAACAATTTCTAAATAAACTGTGGGACTAAAAGTAAAACTCTTGTTTATATCTTTTAGAGACAATTCTACCCATGTCAGAAATAAACATGATTTAACACAAAAGGGTTGTATTATCAACACTGAATCCATATACTGATAACTGAAATTTTTGGATTTATAAATGATTTCTGGGCTGCATTGCTAACTATCCTACAACTCATCCAGCCTTCAATACTTCTTGCAATAGCATATCCAAAGAGCAATTTAGAATGGCAAGCACATTTCCAGGAGACCTTAAGAAGCTGAAAAAAAGATCTGGGACAAAGAAGATACCAAGTCAAGTCAGAACCTTAAAGAGATTGATTATGAAAAAGCAATCTTTAATCACACACAATCCAAAGTTGCGTAACATTAATAAGCTATATCCAAAGAAAATTCCACGTGAGACCAGGCAGAAGAACTATAAACCATTTAGATAGCATAAGAATCTGCATGAGACACACAGACAAAGCCTTTTTAAAATGTTAAACATGCATCAGTCAAGTGAAGGATATTTTGTTTTCCCAAATTTCTATTAGAGATTTGAGGCAAAATATTAAACTGATCAAATAAAAATATATTCTAAATCTTTTAGGAATGGTTGTCATTTATTTTACTAAAATCCTAGCCAGTTCTGGGAATGGTTTAATATTTTCCTAAGATTTCCAAGCAGAAATATGGTGATAAAATATATCTACTCCTAATCATAAAGCTTGAATCAGAATTTCTAAAGCAGGAAAATTTCATGAAGTTTGTCTAAATATTCAATTACAAGGCAGCTGCAGCTTTGAACTCCCAGCATGCAGGTTTAGATCCCCAATTTAGGCTCACACACATTGTTAGAATGTTTCTCCCTTCTCCCTCTCTCATAACTTTAAAATATTAATTATTACAGACACAGAGAGAAGCCCTCAAGCAAGCCTTTAGTATAGAAAAGACCAGGTGAAATGGATTCATTTCTCTAGTCAAGCAAGAACTTATCCTCCCAAAACCCCAAACTGAAACTTGAGATGCAGTCACAATGATGAGCCATTTGTTGAGAAGGGCCCTTGCAAGCTGAAGGTTGTAATGATGCCAAAATATGGTGAGGATAATGACATGTGGCAATTTTCTATCCATGGCTATAAATTTATGCATAGTTATATAATAAATTTAAAAATATTCTATAATTTTATTATAAAAATATTGTTTTGGTTTTAGAGTAGGTTATTTCTGCCTTCCTTTCATCAAGTTGTTCATAACATTTTTTTCCCAGTTTTAACTGAGAAATTTTGACCTTAAATCTTCATTCCCCAATGTGGTAAAATACAAATTATAGCAAGAAAGAAGGGGGAAAAAAGCCACTAGACTTTTCTGTTGGAATCCATGAACAGCCAACTTTTTCTCAGTCACAGAATTTAGGTATCATTACAACCATTCCCTAGCTCTGTACTTGGGGACAGTTAAAACCTTTTGGTGGGAGTAGAATTCTTGCTTTCTTGAGTTTGTCTGTGTATTTGGAGAGGCTGTGAAGAGGGCTGGGGAGAAGGTGATGCTCGTATTTGTGGACTTTGATCATTAGAATGAGAATCCTCTTTTTTTTCTCTCTGTCCTTGTGGTTTTTCTTTCTTTTTTTCTGTACCACTGTAAAATAAAGTATAACATGGAACAACACATATTTACACAAATAAAAAAGATATCAAACGATGGAAAAAGTGATTATTATATAACTCAAAATCCTAAATCATATGTCTAATACAATTTACACTGCTTTCACTCAATAATAAAAATATTTCTTTCAAATTTGGAAACTATTAAAAGCTTCAGTGAAGAATTGATAAGGATTCTAAGACAATATATCCTATGAAGATTGTCCCTCTGGACCAAAATGGCCCTAATGCATTATGCCATTTTAGGGGACTGTTCTGTCGAAGCTCTCTTCATGGACTTCAACTTACCCAAACCAGAACGTTAGTGACACCTTCTATCACCTCTGTAAAACATACTGGTTGACACCCAAGGCACACTAAATGCTTGTTGTTTAGTAGGTTATTCTGGAGTTCCCATTTCTTCTGTGTACTTCTGCTCCCACCAGCTGAGTTTTAAACTTATCAAGAGTCAACTGTGTTTTTTCCCAAACCTGTTTATACCATTTGTGCTTGTTACTTTAATTACGTAAGTTAATTAAATATAATGAAATTGACAAAATATACATAGAAAAGAAAAGTGTAATTTCTATGAAAACTAAATTGAATGCTCTGGAAAGATTCCATAAAAATGAGTTACTAGGGGCCAGTCCCATGGCATAGTGGTTGGGGTTCAGCATGCTCTACTTTGGTGGCGTGGGTTCGAGGGTCTGCATCCCAGGTGCAGACCTACACTATTCATCAGCCATGCTGTGGCAGCGACTCACATATAAAGTGGAAGAAGACTGGCACAGATGTTAGTTCAGGGCTAATCTTCCTCAAACAAAAAAAAAAGAGGAAGATTGGAAACAGATGTTAGCTCAGGGCTAATCTTCATCAGGGGAAAAAAAATGAGTTACTTAAAAAAACTGCTGTTAAATTTTGTCTAGGTGAGACAATTATAAAAGGTTGAGGGAAAAATCATAGAAAAAGAGATGGGTTCTAATTCATATTGTTTTGCAAGAGTTTTCAATTTTTTACTGTCTTAAAAAGTGAAATTAAAAATTATAAAAAATAATTTATGAGTGTATTTTATGCAAGAGTGTCAGCAAAGAATCCAATCAGAGATGCATAACTTAGAAAGAAAGGGGGTGGGAGGCTTGGCCTTTCACAATAAAATTGACAAATGAATATATGTG